GGAGTGAATACATCTGTGTTACTGTTCAAAATCCTCGACTATGTCACTCGAAAATTTTATAAAAGAATGTAAATAAGTTTTAAAAGATCATTTTAATATAGTTTTCTTCTTCCTGACTATCTCAATTATTAGTTAAATAAAAACTACTCACATAAACAATAAAGATATTTATCTCTTAAAGTGAAACCACCAATATGATAAAATTTTTGAACAAAAATGAATAAAGAAATAGATATGATTCATGAATTCAAGTGGGTGTTTATTATTTATTTAAACACACAAAAATTGGTACAAGGAAGCACCAAATATATATAAGCCACACTTTGTCATTCGATTTGTGTGAGGGCGCCCAAACCGAGGCAGGTGATTTTCTTAGGTGGCCAATTCCCGAGCCTCTGACCTAGAGGTATAATCCACAAAGCAGTGGAGCAACGTTAGGAGATGCAGTTCCGTGGTAGCTGGTGACCAACAACAGGTTTATACGCCATTTGTTTTCTCAGGATCCTGGAGCCCACGTGCACCATTGGTTTGGAATCAGGGTTTTCCATAAGTGGATCCTCCATATCCACCAACTCGGTTAAAGCGCCGGACATTCGCTTTTCGTCCCCTCGATTTCGTGAACAACACACCCCGCCGTGGAGCGTAACATAGTCTCTCAAAAAGTAGATGAATATATATATATATATATATATATATATATATATATATATATATATATATATTACTGATTGACTAACCAGTATTTCCTGAAAAAATATGAAACTGTACACACAACGAAATACACATCTTGAATTATAACATTATTCTTATATCAATGTAGTATAACTGATTTCTGTTAAAGGATCTAATAAGATTTTTATCATAAAGAAACCATCATAAAATTGTACATAGCTTTCAATTATAGTTGATTAGTGAACATTTCAAAAAAGCTAAATAAAATCATTTCTAAAAATCAGAATCTATCTATTCAGTTTAATCTAAGCGAGTACAAATTGTTATATCCGAGTGGAGATTAAATTACAGGTAACTTCCGAGGACTATTCATGGACTAATATTCTATAAATATTCTTATTGTATAACTATGCAACAATTACATTATGTATATTTATATCCCTCTTATGACAAGCTTTATTTTGGCCTATAATTTATTATTGTACGATTTACGGTTCTTAAGTTATGTTCAGTTTATTAACTACTGCCTCCCACATTCACAGCCACTTTTTGGGCTTATTTGTGTACAAATATTATTTCCTATTTTATGGTACGTTGCGGTCTGTGTGATTGATATATAAACCAAGTATGCCTGAAATAAACGATCTGCTCTGATTCGGAAGCTGGTGTTGTGTTCTGTACTCAAGTGGAAGGGCTCGTAGGACGTAGGACCAATAAGGACGCTAAACTGCCCACACCGGTTGAACGTCATTGGTTGGCCTAGTGTGAAGATTCGTATAAGTCGTATTCGGATTGGTAGATAAATCGTATGATAGAAAAGTCAAACATCCAAGGTCATAACACAAATAAAGTCTTAACAACCAACTGAAAATCATGAAACCAGATATATGTCTAATACTACTTCGAAGATTTTACAGTCAAACAAAATATTATCAGATACGAGAAACTGAATTAGATTTACTTTAAAACTCCGTTTACTTTTGTGTATAAATTCTTTGTTCACCAGACTATATACGAGTTTATTACAACAATTTAGAATTATCATCCAGTCATATCGACGACAACTCTTAACATTGTACAAGTACAGAAGTCACTAGTGAGCTAATTCACTAACTAGATACATATATATTTTCAGTAACTATTACGAACAGTATTACTTAGAGTATTAAGGAACGAGGTGAAAAGTGAACGAGATTGTTGATCAGGCAAAATGTCGAACATTTTAATTTTGATCTCCATGTGTACAAGCGTAAATTGTAAAAAAGTTCTGATGAACACATTTTGATGGTTAGAAAGCCGTCCATCAGTCATAACTGATGATCATATCTTCACCCTCCGCCAAATGTTAGAACACCGCCATACTTATCACAGGCCAACAATCGTAGTGTTTCTTGACATCAAAGCTGCCTTCGATTCGTTGGATAGGACTGTTCTCTAGGATTGTCGATTGAAGAAGGGTGTGTCTGAGAAGTTTATTAACATCCTAAAAGCCCTATATACAAACACCTCAGGCAGAGTGAGGGCATACAACCACCTCTCTCCATTGTTCCATTCGAGCAGTGGGGTTAGGCAGGGTTGCCCAATCTCACTATTCCTCTTCAACTTTACCATCGATGACATTCTGGAAACAGTTCTGATGGATGTAAGTAATGGCGGCGTGGATCTGTTGCCTGGAGAAAGACTTCTCGACCTTGAGTATGCGGACGATATTGTCTTACTGTGCGATAATGCCCAAGGCATGCAATCCGCACTTAATCAGTTGGCAATCAGTGTCCGTAGGTATGGTATGTGCTTTGCATCTTCGAAGTGCAAATTACTTCTACAAGACTGGCAGGATTCTAATCCTGTACTCACTCTGGATGGCGAGCAGATAGAAGTAGTCGAGAAGTTCGTGTATCTAGGTAGCTGTATAAGTGCTGGTGGGGGTGTGAGTGATGAGATCAATGCACGTACAGTGAAAGCCAGAGCGGCTTATGTCCATCTGGGCCATCTCTGGCGCCTTCGTGATGTTAGTCTAGCTGTAAAAGGTCGGATCTACAACGCGTCGGTGAGAGCAGTTTTGCTCTATGCTTGTGAGACCTGGCCTCTCCGAGTTGAGGACGTTAGACGACTCTCTGTGTTCGATCATCGTTGTCTCCGAAGGATTGCTGACATCCAGTGGCAACATGATGTTAGTAATGCAGAGGTTCGGCATCGTGTGTTCGGGTACAGAGACGATAATGCAATTGGTGTCACCATCTTGAAACACCGACTTCGGTGGCTTGGACATGTTCTACGAATGTCGTCCCAGAGAATTCCACGTCGTGTATTATTTGCCGACTCTGGGACCGGTTGGAAGAAGCGGAGAGGTGGTCAGTGCATGACATGGTGTCGTGGTATGAAAGAAAGCTGCAAAGGACTGGCTTGTGTTGGTCCAAGAGATGGTGCGACACAGTGGCTAGAGACGTTATCAGATATGGCTCAGAATAGAAGCCAGTGGTGATCCTGCTGTAACCTTCTTTTACTTTCTTCATAAAAAGTGGTTGTGTCTCCTTTACCTGAAAGATTTCTTCTGATTGTACCCTTCTGTTCCCCTACTATTGCTATTATTATTATTACACTACCTTACACCAATCTCTTCGTTATTGTTTTTTATTATTATTATTTCTTTTTTTAGGTTCCTCACTTTTTTTTCTTCTTAGATTCTCATTGTTCTGTGTGGCGCATATATATTTGGCGCACTCTTGTACCAATATTTATGTGTTCAAATAAATAAATAAATAAGATGCAGAACTTGAAGAAAGTGTGCATCGATACCACACCAGCACACCAAGACGAAATTGAAGCGATGATTATTAAATGAAATGAAATAGTAATAGCATCATTGACAGTAAGAGTGGGCATGTAGGCCATAAAGAGAGAAAATAAAAGGAAGAGTAGGTAGAAGCCAACTTAAGTGTGATACACCCGGAAGTTGAGTTCAATTTTTTCGACCAATACTAACAACCAAAACGTCCCCTTCAATAAAGGACTACTTTTATGAGTTCTCTTGAAATTTCCATAATAAGGGAAGAGAGTAAACGAAACAAAAAACCACTTTTAATAGTTCGGTTCATGAGTCGATGTAAGCTAGACCACCATTGAAAACCTGGAAGCACTGGACAGCCGTTTCGTCTTATTATGGAACTCCTCAGTAGTGCACATCCACTAATCGACTCATGAATTCAACTATCTATAAATCACTACAATTTCCATAGACCCTCATTCTAAAAATAAAAAAAGTTTTCACGGATTGAACTCATGAGTCAGTTGAAGCTAGACCACCATTGAGAACCTGGAAGCACTGGACGGCCATTTCGTCCTAGTATGGGACTCCTCAGCAGTGCGCATCCACGACCCCGCACCACCCGGGGCTCGAACCCAGGACCTACTGGCTTCGCGCGTGAGCACTTAACCATTAGACCACTGAGCCGGCATCCAACGGTGTTAATGTCTAACTTCAACCAACCCACGAAGCCAGTAGGTCCTGGGTTCGAGCCCCGGGTGGTGCGGGGTCGTGGATGCGCACTGCTGAGGAGTCCCATACTAGGACGAAACGGCCGTCCAGTGCTTCCAGGTTTTCAATGGTGGTCTAGCTTCAACTGACTCATGAGTTCAATCCGTGAAAATTTCTAAAAATCTCCACAAAACACAATCTGATAATAAAAAAAGTATTTCCCTAAAATCAACTGAGGAAAAAAAAGTATCCTCAATCACACCAATATGATATGTGTATACATTATTCTTATCCATTTCGCATGATGTCAACTTTACCAATGATACATTTTGCTGGTAATTAAGACCTAATCGACTTGGCATCCGCTATTTTCAATTTATAACCGAGCGCTTTAACCGGATCCCAAACCAATGGTGCACATGGGTTCCAGTATTCTGCGGGAACAAATGGCGTATGAACCAATTTTTGGTCACCGGCTACCATGGGACTGCATCTCCTCATGATGTTCCACTGCCTTGTGGGTCAGACCTTTTGGTCAAAGGCTCGGGGCGTGGCCCCTAAGAAAACCACCTGCTTCGGTCTGGGCACTCGGGCAGTATCATAGCCCACACACAAATATAATGGTAATGAAAATGTGTGGCGCATACATATTTGGTGCCCTCTTCTACCAATATTCATGTGTTCAAATAAAATAAAATAAAATAAACACTAATATTCTGTTTAACGTTACACATTGTTGATAAATTTATAAATGTGAAGTTAGAAGAGGTTACAAGAAACAGTTGTTTGCCCGGATATTTTTTGCTTTCTTTGATATACGTAGAATTAAAAACAACGAAAAATAAGTAATTACCTGTTCTTCTCGACGACTCTGCTCTATTACCATTTGTACTTTGGCTTCTTCTTTAGCTTCTTCAGCTCGTCTCCGCCGTTCTTCTCGATCATGTTCCTCTTTACTGATAGCCAGAGCAAGTTGAAGATGTAATTGTTCTTCTCCGGCAGATTGAGGTCTAACGGAATCTAATTCAGTTGCGGCATGAGAAACAGATTCTAAAAATTAAGATATATTATCCGAACTCAGTAAAATATTCAATTCCAAAAATAACAGTTTCCCAATGCCAGCATCACGACTTTGTGCATAGACAGTATAAGTATACTGGATCAAGTGATATGAATTGCTTATAAGTTTACCTGAGACATTATAAATGACTTATGCTAGACTTCGAAAAATACTATCACAGATCAGAATTACATAAAAAAAAACCCGAAATGTTTACTTAGCCACAACGAATAACGCAACATACAAACATGAAGTAAGTTACTAAAACAAACTAAGCGATCTGGATCAGAAAACAATTAAGCATACATATATGAGGTGAAGATGCTACTTATTAATCATATTTACATTCAACCAAAAAATCATGCAATGCTAACAGGCAATTCAATTTAGTCAATACTTATTTGATAGGTTTTGACAAATTTTAACAAGAAGTTTTCATACTTTGTATTTTCGTTATATATAAGCGATCACTATACATTTATACATATATACATTTATTATTATAGAATATCTATGTGAAAAGTTACAGTTTAGATAAGTGATGATAAGTTATCTTAGTTAAATGATTAAATTTTAGCTTCATTGGCAATTTTTATCTGAAAGCAAGTGGGTAAATTATAAATGAACGTTTTAAGCTACTAATCAGTGAGGTCGACATTTTTATACTCCTCGGTTTGATTTATATTGTTACGTTGCCTGAATAAATTAATTACAAAAGTTATCCTCCACTTAGGCCAATAACTATGAATCATTCAACTGTGTTTCGCTTTAATTTTACGTAGGTTTAATATGTATATAAAGAAATGCATTCTTGTTAAATAACTTTCCACAGTCACAGACTAAGTGATGTCTTATGGCCATTTCTTCAAAATACTGAGACAACTGTATTTAATGTCGACTGACGTACTGTTAAGAAGAAATCATGTTTTATCATGGTAATCCGTTTAGTTACTCTACTACTGTAAATAGAAGTAATCTTTTTAGAATTATCCTGGAACTCCCAATTTAGTTCGCTCTGCCGAACCTATTAATGATTGCTTATTTTAAAAGCGCTTGTTACATCTGTGCTCAGCTGCATTCCCATAAAATGTTTTCCTTAGTTAGCCTTTCACTATATGATTGTTTCACTTTATGCTCGTAAACTGACAGGGTGGATCCATGTTGACGTAGACAATGATTGCAAATCAATTTGAACATTAATGCTTCTAAAAGGTGTTTTTCATTCTTAGGCTTTAATTCATTGGTGATTTTGAAATTTCCTCAATCGAATTGTCTCCAGTTGTCGAAGTTCATTAACATAGGCGAAGATAGTTATATAACATTAGCAGTAGGTGCTGATGTTGTCCACAACCATACTTAATTTTATAATCTATTTATACTAATTCGTAAATTTTATTGGAACACTTGCGTCCCAATAGGATATAAATTTGTCGGTAAAATTTAAAAAAAAACATAAATACACTTACTTGAAGGCAAGGTTCCTTTTTCAAAATAGTTGGAGCCAGAATATCCAATAGGATAGCTACTACGACCAGATGGTGGGACACCATATTTAACCGGTGAATCTCCAGCAGAAGCCGTAGTTCCCAAACCCCCATGCATCAAACGGTCACGTGCTAGTAGAGCCTTTGTACGTTCTTCGTGCAAACGTTCCTCATCTCTAAGAAGCGTACTCAAATGACGAGCTTTCTCACGGACATTCTTACCACGATCTTTCCCATCTTCAACACACTCAAAGTCCTGTTTGTTGAAGGAAAAAGAATAGAACGCTAGCTTCGAGAGAACTATATTCATGGAACCCAGTTATGAGGACTCAATAATGATTCTATAAGTCATCTAATTGGAACACCTATTAATAAACTAAATCATATTAGTGTCTGTCAGCAAATATAAGAAAGCACTTTTTATCAAATTGATTAAGAACTAGTAAATTAAGTCTAAGGTGATGTGAATTATTGTTATAACCCATCAACATGCAACTAATTTCACTTTAATCGCCTCTCAAATATACCATACTCTCAAACAGTCATTGACAATAAGTATAAATACTCCGATAATTATATGCAGCCATAAAACTAGAAGTAGGAGCACCGTTGAGAATTGAGATACTGTGAAACCAAATACACATGAAATAAGATGTCCAAGTATAGATATAAACGAAATTATACTTAGAAAATAGTACTAAATAACACTTCATGAGGTCACTGACTGTTAGACTGGACCGAGTTGTCATATGTAGTTTACTTAGTTGGGGTTTGAGAGGTTATCTCAACCAATGAGTATAGACATTAGGTGACATTGTTTAAAATCGGTCGTAGTAACGCACTCGCATTCAAGTTTTTATTTTCCTTTAGATCTTAAGTTTTACAACTACCTTATACCTCTTAATTGGATCATTAACCCTACTTTTCGAATCAGATCATCTATACGTAGTCTTCATTAATACCAATTACACCACACAATACTACTAGTTTGGTATTCTTCTTGATAATTTCATCTCGATGTGATGTGATTAGACAACTTGGACGTTGTTTATGGCCGACTGACTAGATAGCATAGGAACAACAGTTTCCAATGTCAATCGAACCTGTGGCTAAACGATTAAAAGCTACACGTTTGAGTGTTGTTAGAGGTATGAGGGCGGTTATCACTTCCCAGTTGCCCACACCGTGGAAGCGTTCTTCCAGAAATACCTGAAAAGAAAATTGGGTTAGGGGAGACTTTTGTGACCTGAGAGCGTGACCGCAGTGCCCAAGGGACAACTGCTTGAGGTCGGTCACATTATGAAGATTAAGGGGTATAGTCAGAAACAAATCAAATAATAAAATTGAATGAGACTAGTATATGATGGTGCAATCCAGCCGGAAACACAAGCAAAGAGAGTTCCTTCAATCTTTTATCAAGAATTCAAAAGCAAACTACCGCAATGATCTCCATTGGTTTTTATTTTGATCCATGTCTGAGAATGTTTCAAACCACTGAGCTGCACCAATCCCAACACCCTAACCAGGGAGTCGTGATGGACTGACAGATGCCAGTCCTGTACGGCTTCTCATACCGCAGCACCATATCGTAAAATGACCAACTCTTCGCTCTTTCTACATCATCTTATAGTTGGCAACTGTTGAACAATGAGGAATTTCCTGGGGTTACATTTGTAACACAAATCCAAGCCACCAAAGCCGGTGTTTTAAGATGCTGGCAATAACTGAGCCATCAGTACTATTTGCAAACACATATAGTCTAATTTCAGTATAACTAACACATGTTGCTACTGAGTTCTGTGTTTGCTCAGCCTAGAAAGGCCAGACTTCGTAAGAGTAGGGAAGGATTGGTCTCGCTGACTTGCAACTGACGCGACATTTTTCATCCAGACTAGCATCACAACGACGCTAAAGATGGGTCACATTGACGTAAACTTCCTTGTTTTTCATCAATTAATCAACCAAAAACACACACAACTAGCCAGATACACGGACTGTTCTACTATCTCTAATCGTTCATCATAAACAATGAGTGCAGACAGGTTCCTCCCAGTCTTTCAGACTCACTCTGCACTAAGAAGATGCAAAGTACATGTCACACTTACGGACACTAAATGCTGAATCATTAAGTGTGATTTCCATAGGTTGAAGTTTATCGGAATTAAAACAAGACAATACCTATACTCAAGATCGGAAAGTTTTTCTTCAAGCAATAAATTTACACCACCGCGACCTACTTTCATTACAGCTATTTACAGAATGTCATAGGCAGCAAAGTTGAAAAGGAATGGTGAGGCTGAACAACCCCCTATAACAGCACTGCTGGAATTTGATAGTGAGTAGAGCTGGTCGTAAGCTTTTACTCTACCTGAGGTGTTCGTATCAGTTGTCAGGCCCGACCATAGCTGCTACCTTGACGCGGTGGTGGGGCTTGCCTATCGTGATGACCCGACCGAGCTATATTGGCTGGAACATATGTTCCTGTAGGTTCTACCATGCCAGGCAGGTCGATTGGAGAACGGTAAGACTAAAGGCAGCAACTCAAGGTCTGAGGGCGAAGTCGTACTGCTGACTGTAGAGAGGTGTGACAACAGTAAGGTGTTTCCCTCGGACAACCAGCATCTACAGCGATGCTGCCTTCTCACAAGGAAGGAAGGGGTTAGAAAAGATCGACCCTAAAAATGTCATACCTCACGGATTTCCGTCTCCGGCGTTAAGGCCCTGTGGATAACGGAGCTAACACATTAAAAACCTCCCACAAAAAGGCCGTGCGCGACCATCCTCAAGCAGTTGTCCCTTGGGCTCTGTGGTCACGCTCCCAGATCGTTAAGACCAACACTAATCCGACTTCCTTTTCAGGTTCCTCAAGAAATACCCTTCCACGGTGTGGGCAGCCGGGAAGTGATGTCAGCCCTCATACCCGTAACAGCACACGAGACCAAGTCGGTCACATTCAAATCCTTCCTACACCTCCTGACAACCCTCTTATCTCCACGACTAACCCTTCTCACGTCCCTTTATCACCTCGCACCGCTAGGGCAGACGAAAAGCTAGGCGCTCTGATGTAGTAATAGTGGCCGGTGACTTTAATGCTCAAGTAGGCAAACTAAGCGGAAGAGAAAGACACCTGGGTGGATCTTATGGTGTCGCGGCTCAGAGAACAGATAATGGCGACTGTCTGTTGCATCTATGCTCAGATAACCGCCTTTTTCTTGCAAACACTAACTTTAGGCATAAGGGAAAATATCTTTTGACATGGCGACCCTAGAATTCGTCCCAACGTTGGACCCAAATAGATCACATCGCTATCAGCCACCGATGGAGGGGCTCGATAGAAGACTGCCGCTCATTCTGGAGCACATGCTTAGAACCAGATCATGTTCTAGTGCGAGCGCGTATCTGTCTACGTCTTAATGGACGTAGTAACTATGATGCAAGGAAACCCGTTAAGGTCCTACTTAATGATAGTCAAGCTAAGAGTATATATCAGGAACAACTAGGAAAACAGTTAGGCAGCTATGTAGGTGATGCCCACCCCGAGGCAGCGTGGAATGATATCTCGCGGATCCCAACTAGGTGGTCTACACCTACCAACATGGCTCAATCCACTTGTCAGTGACTTCATGGATTTGTGCTATGTTTTGGTCTGGCCACTCCTAGCTTTCTTCCAACCTACTCCTACACCAGAAAACATCGCACGTCGGGGCAGTCGGTGGTTGGGCATGCGTAACATGTGTCCCAGTCATCTCAACTGATGAAGTTTCACTACTTTATCACTTGATTTGCCTGGTTGGGATCCGCTAGATGACAGCAACCGATGGTTAGAGACCTTGAATGACATGGCTCAAAGTCGTTTGCAATAGCGCAGGTGCATCCACTCTTTGTGGATGCATTCTTCGTGTCCTTTATTTTCTTTCCAAATTTATTTCACTGAATTATACTCTTTGAATAACATCTTCAAACCCTAATCTTTCCGATTAATGCTTATACTCTTACTACCTCTACCACTACGGGATTAGAATCGATAACTGCATCTCTGTGCTAATATGGTATGGCAACTCGAACTGATGTACGTACGTACGAAGTTCCACGTTGTTACTGACTGACTGATCAGTTGTCAGAAAATCGGTAAACCTCTTGTGCACAAGAACCACTCTGCTCCTCACAATTCAGTTTTCAAGCGTTTTTGACAACCTACGAAGCACAATGGAGGTCAATAGTTTAGATAATTCCATCTGGGCCCCGCCTGGACTAATGGTGGTCCCAAGATTCGTTAAAGGAGGGTCAGGCGTAAGGTTAGTAACCCTACCTCATAAACACAATCCAAAACCAGCATAAGCTAACTAAACTTTACTCTGGTAGTTGAAGGGACTTCATAAATATTTATGACACGTAATGAAAACCGGGTCCTCAGAAGCCACGAGGTCAATGACCTATTTGGCGGCCACAACAATTAATATTTGTACAAGGGATGTCCAGACAATGTGGGAGACCAGGTGAGTCATTCAAACAGCTACAGAAATGAAAAGATACAACTCGGAGACACACTTTATACAAAACTGGATAAAAAAGGATTGGTTTCAGGAGAGTCGTTATTGTATTCCAGTCACGGAGAAGGAAATGCATCATACAAAAGTTTTACTGACACTGCCCAAAGAAGAGCGGAACGCGCTAATAAGATAGGGAACTTATGGCTCTATGGTCAAGACATCCTTTAAAACAAAGAAGGAAAATAAAGCAATTAATTTTATCCAATGACACACACCTGTCAATGATGGGAGTGAGGACGATAAAGACCGAATTCATGAGATTGCAGTCTGTCCTACAGAAATACTAACAACAGGACCTAACCACTCTGGTAGGAGAACTAAATCCTTAAGTCGGAATAGACAATTCCTAGCATGAAGGCATCATGTGACGTGGATGGGGAAATAAAGGACAAAAATAGTGAGAAACTGGTAGATGCATGTGCTTCCAGCAACATAGAAACATTTTCGCCCACAAACGCATCCACAAGGTTACATAGGCTTCATTGGGCCAAAACAGAAACCCAGATCGTTCACATACGCATGCATAAAATATTCAGAAGGTCCACCGAATATGCGAAAAAAGGTGTTGATGGGGCTTCAGGTGATGACCAAGCTAAGACTGAAGTTAAGGAAGTATCGGATGGTTGCAAAATCAGTACTGTAAAATTTTAATACCTGGAAACTACAGAAGAACACCCCAAAAAAAAGGATATAAAAAACCATATGA